TCTGTATGTATGGACTCTGCACAGTCCCACTTCTGTCCCGGATGCCGGGTGTCATTCTGTATGTATGGACTCTGCACAGTCCCACTTCTGTCCCGGATGCCGGGTGTCATTCTCGGTATCTGTCCCCATTCTGTATGTATGGACTCTGCACAGTCCCACTTCTCCTGTCCCGGATGCCGGGTGTCATTCTGTATGTATGGACTCTGCACAGTCCCACTTCTCCTGTCCCGGATGCCGGGTGTCATTCTCGGTATCTGTCCTCATTCTGTATGTATGGACTCTGCACAGTCCCACTTCTCCTGTCCTGGATGCCGGGTGTCATTCTCGGTATCTGTCCTCATTCTGTATGTATGGACTCTGCACAGTCCCACTTCTCCTGTCCCGGATGCCGGGTGTCATTCTCGGTATCTGTCCTCATTCTGTATGTATGGACTCTGCACAGTCCCACTTCTCCTGTCCCGGATGCCGGGTGTCATTCTCGTTATCTGTCCCCATTCTGTATGTATGGACTCTGCACAGTCCCACTTCTCCTGTCCTGGATGCCGGGTGTCATTCTCGGTAAAAAAAAAAAAAAAATCACAGAAACGCATCAAACACGCAACACAATGGTGTCACTGAAGTGTGAACACGGCCTTAAGTAGAAATCAGGCTGAGAGTGGGCGTGTCAATGGGTGCGGCCTCCTAGCAATGCAGTGTGAATCACAAGACCGGCTGAACAGAATTAGAATGCTCAGTAATAGCTCACTGATGGAGTTCCCCTTTAATTGTGGGCGGGGCACAGACACCAAATTCTTCTCATAGAGATCCCGCTCATCGCGGGTTCCGTCACATTGTAACAAAACGCATTAAAATGCATTAAAACCGCCGGCGGCAAATGTCACGCGTGTTTTCTAATGGCTGGCATGAATGAGCCCCGAGTGGTGAAGATTCTCCACCAGGGAATGTTTGGTGAAAGTTTGGCGGTAAATGTCACGCGCGTTTTCTAACATGAATGAGCCCCGAGTGCCGGGTTTTCGTGTTCTGCGTAGACGGTAACCTGCGTCTCCCCCGCCGCGCCATAATTCACAATTATCACCCAGTGACATCACTGACACACGTAAGCCACCGCCGAGCCCTCGCGATGTGATAAACGCGGATGTTACGACCTCGCCGCCTGAACCGCGACCCGCCGCCGTATTTCTCGCAGGCCGCGGTCTCTGAGCGATGACAACGACGAGCCGACGTTCCCGCGAAAAAAAAAAAAAGAAGAAAAACACTTGAGGCGTTTTCCATCTCGTTTACGGGGCCCTTGAAATGACACATTAAAGCAATTTGCGGAGTAATTAGCGCGGCGGATCGCGCGACAAATGATTTCTTGATGTATCGGAAAATTTCCGGTGCCTGAGCGCAACGCGGGGTCTGAAAATGAGGAGAGCGCGGAGTGATGTCGCAGCGGGCGGGGATAATAGGTGAACATGACAGGAGCGCGTCTGCCTTATCAGCGTTTTATCGGCGAAGATGAAGGACGCGCGAGGAAAATCACCATCACAAAGCCGAATTAAAGCGCTTTCTGATCTGTAATAGGCTGAAGCACCTCGACGGCGACACGTTACAGGCAATTAGGCATGAAAGAGTTCCTTAACGAGCCTGCGCGACTCATTATTCACAATCACGGCGAGCTGCTGCGGGGGAGGGGAGCGCGGCCACAAAAAACCATTCCCACCACATGCGGCAGAGGGACCGCGCACACTGCCGACGGGACGGATCACACAGGACATCAAGGGGGACTTTCACCCAACATTCCCTGGTGGAGAATCTTCACCGCTTGGGGCTCATTCACGCCAGCCGCTAGAAAACACGCGTGACATTTACCGCTGAACTTTCACCGAACATTCCCTGGTGGAGAATCTTCTCCACCACTCGGGGCTCATTCACGCCAGCTGTTATTAAACACGCGTGACATTTGCCGCCGGCGGTTTTAGCGCATTTTCATGCGTTTTGTTACAATGTGACGGAACCCGCGATGAGCCGATCTCTAGGAGAAGAATTTGGTGTCTGTGCCCCGCCCACAATTAAAGGAGAACTCCATCAGTGAGCTATTACTGAGCATTCCGATTCTGTTCAGCCGGTCTTGTGATTCACGCTGCATTGCTAGGAGGCAGCACCTGTTGACACGCCCACTCTCAGCCTGATTTCTACTTAAGGCCGTGTTCACACTTCAGTGACACCATTGTGCAGAGTCCATACATACAGAATGGGGACAGATACCGAGAATGACACCCGGCATCCAGGACAGAAGTGGGACTGTGCAGAGTCCATATATACAGAATAGGGACAGATACCGAGAATGACACCCGGCATCCGGGACAGGAGAAGTGGGACTGTGCAGAGTCCATACATACAGAATGACACCCGGCATCCGGACAGGAGAAGTGGGACTGTGCAGAGTCCATATATACAGAATAGGGACAGATACCGAGAATGACACCCGGCATCCAGGACAGGAGAAGTGGGACTGTGCAGAGTCCATATATACAGAATAGGGACAGATACTGAGAATGACACCCGGCATCCCGGACAGGAGAAGTGGGACTGTGCAGAGTCCATACATACAGAATGACACCCGGCATCCGGGACAGGAGAAGTGGGACTGTGCAGAGTCCATACATACAGAATGAGGACAGATACCGAGATTGACACCCGGCATCCCGGACAGGAGAAGTGGGACTGTGCAGAGTCCATACATCCAGAATGGGGACAGATACCGAGAATGACACCCGACATCCAGGACAGGAGAAGTGGGACTGTGCAGAGTCCATACATACAGAATGGGGACAGATACCGAGAATGACACCCGGCATCCAGGACAGGAGGAGTGGAACTGTGCAGAGTCCATACATACAGAATGACACCCGGCATCCAGGACAGGAGGAGTGGGACTGTGCAGAGTCCATACATACAGAATGACACCCGGCATCCAGGACAGGAGGAGTGGGACTGTGCAGAGTCCATACATACAGAATGACACCCGGCATCCAGGACAGGAGGAGTGGGACTGTGCAGAGTCCATACATACAGAATGACACCCGGCATCCAGGACAGGAGAAGTGGGACTGTGCAGAGTCCATACATACAGAATGACACCCGGCATCCAGGACAGGAGGAGTGGGACTGTGCAGAGTCCATACATACAGAATGACACCCGGCATCCAGACCTCATCCTGTACAATGACAGTGACTAGCCGGTCACATGACCATCTCCCCTCTGCCGGCGGAGGATCAGGCGGTGTCTCCTGCGGTCCCCGGAGACACCAGACAGACGATCGGCATTACCATGTCTGTGGTGTAATCACATCCGCCGGCGCTGCGTACAGATCGATGATTATTGATCGATGACACGGACGCCGCGTTTGTATCGCTTGTTATTTGTGTATCAGGTAAATATTGGGACGGGAAGTCTCCCGGGGACTGCGCCACAAACACACATTCTGCACTCTGACCGTGATGACGTCCTCCACGTCACTCGCGCCTAGAATCGTGTGCGGCGCAAGGGCGGGGTCACAGCGTTTGCAAGCCGGGAATTTTTAATTATTAAAATGATTTTTTATTATTATTGTTGTTATTAATAATAATAAATACTAATAATATTCTTTTAAGAAAATTACTTATAATTATTATTATTTCATTATTAAAATTAATTATTTTTTTTTGTGGCGTGACACCTCCTGATAGCCAATCACACTGATCAAAATATGATGTGATGGGGGGAATCTGATGTGAAGGGGGAGGGGCTCTGATGTGATGGGGGGAATCTGATGTGAAGGGGGAGGGGCTCTGATGTGGTGGGGGAATCTGATTTGAAGGGGGAGGGGCTCTGATGTGAAGGGGGAGGGGCTCTGATGTGATGGAGGAATCTGATGTGAAGGGGAAGGGGCTCTGATGTAATGGGGTAATCTGATGTGAAAGGGGAGGGGCTCTGATATGATGGGGGAATCTGATATGAAAGGGGAGGGGCTCTGATATGATGGGGGAATCTGATGTGAAGGGGGAGGAGCTCTGATGTGAAGGGGGAGGGGCTCTGATGTGAAGAGGAGGGGCTCTGATGTGATGGAGGAATCTGATGTAAAGGGGGAAGGGCTCTGATGTGAAGGGGGAGGGGCTCTGATGTAATGGGGTAATCTGATGTGAAGGGGGAGGGGCTCTGATGTGATGAAGGGAATCTGATGTGAAGGTGGAGGGGCTCTGATGTGATGGGGGAATGTGATGTGAAGGGGGAGGGGCTCTGATGTGATGGAATCTGATGTGAAGGGGGAGGAGCTCTGATGTGATGGGGGGGAATCTGATGTGAAGGGGGAGGGGCTCTGATGTGATGGGGGGAATGTGATGTGAAGGGGGAGGGGCTCTGATGTGATGGGGGAATCTGATGTGAAGGGGGAGGAGCTCTGATGTGATGGGGGGAATCTGATGTGAAGGGGGAGGGGCTCTGATGTGATGGGGGGAATCTGATGTGAAGGGGAGGGGCCTCAGTGTCGGTGTCTTTGGGGGTTTATATTTGTTGATTTATCTCATTGTCAGCACATTTGTAGAAAACAAAGAGTCCCCCCTTCCCCCCCCCATTGTTTGTGGGCCGTCCTCCGGGAAGCAGCACACATAGGCGGGGTCCCCGCAGGGGGACTGGGGGGCCCTTTGTGGGTCATCGTATCAGCATTATAAATAAAAGTTACAAATGATATTTTGTTACTATTTGGGGGGTTTTCATGATACAATAATAAATCCGGAGACGTGTCGCCCCAAATGTCCCTGAAGCGGCAGAACTGCGTCCGCGCCGGAAATCAGACGGTGGAAAATAAATCTGCAGATAGAAGCCAATGGCTGGTGAGCGATCGATCCGAACCAACCGATTCCAGAAACAAACGATTTTCTCTGCGGGATATAAATACCGCCATCGGGCTGATAATACTGATGGCACCGCCCCTCTGATATCGTCACACGTCCACCCGCTGACCCCCGGCCCCCCCTCCAGTCCTGCACAGGTGTACCGGCTCCTCCCCTCCAGTCTTGCACAGGTGTACCGGCCCCTCCCCTCCAGTCCTGCACAGGTGTACCGGCTCCTCCCCTCCAGTCCTGCACAGGTGTACTGGCTCCTCCCCTCCAGTCCTGCACAGGTGTACCGGCTCCTCCCCTTTAGTCCTGCACAGGTGTACTGGCTCCTCCCCTCCAGTCTTGCACAGGTGTATTGGCTCCTCCCCTCCAGTCCTGCACAGGTGTACTGGCTCCTCCCCTCCAGTCTTGCACAGGTATACCAGCTCCTCCCCTTGAGTCCTGCACAGGTGTATATCGGCTCCTCCCCTCCAGTCTTGCACAGGTATATCGGCTCCTCCCCTTCAGTCCTGCACAGGTGTATCGGCTCCTCCCCTTCAATCTTGCACAGCAGTACCGGCTCCTCCCCTCCAGTCCTGCACAGGGGTACTGGCTCCTCCCCTCCAGTCTTGCACAGGGGTACCGGCTCCTCCCCTTCAGTCCTGCACAGGTGTATCGGCTCCTCCCCTCCAGTCTTGCACAGGTGTATCGGCTCCTCCCCTCCAGTCTTGCACAGGTGTATCGGCTCCTCCCCTTCAATCTTGCACAGCAGTACCGGCTCCTCCCCTCCAGTCCTGCACAGGGGTACTGGCTCCTCCCCTCCAGTCTTGCACAGGTGTATCGGCTCCTCCCCTTCAGTCTTGCACAGGAGTTGATGCATATTGATGACGCATATTGATGAGATGTATTGTTGACGTGTATTGATGACGCGTATTGACGCATATTAATGAGGTGTATTGATGACGCGTGTTGATAAGGTGTATTGATGACGCGTATTGATGACACATATTGATGACATGTATTGATGACGCGTATTGATGACACATATTGATGACATGTATTGATGACGCGTATTGATGACATGTATTGATGATGTTTGTTGATGACGTGTATTGATGACATGTATTGATGACATGTATTGATGATGTTTGTTGATGATGTGTATTGATCGCCAGTGATGGGGACAGCGCGGTATGAGCGGCCGGCGAGGGGACGTCAGGACGGATCCCTGGGGGGGGGGGGGTCATTTTTTTTTCTTCTTCTAAGTAAAACTAACTCCGGTCTGTATTTTCCCCCGGCTGTAGGGTGGAGGCCGGGGATGTTCGAGGGGAATTTTGAGCGGAGCAGTGTTGCCTGTGGGGGGGGTGGTAATGGCGGGGTGGGGGAGGGGTCTGTACTATTTAGGTTGCAATTAATACCTCTTTGTCAGGATTTTTTTTCCTCTCCCAGCCACAGCTGTTCCAGCAGGAGATGTAAATATACCCAGCCGGCTGTTTGCGGTCTCGTATTTCAGGTTCAGCCTTTGTCACATTGCTGCTGTATGTGACATGTATGACGCTCCGCCGCCAGCTGGGCGGCTTCTATCCTTTTCTGGAAAAGCATTTAAACATTAGTGAATGAGCAGCAGGTCGCCTTTGTGGGTAGCGCCGGGCCCTCCCAGCCCTGGACCCCCCCCCCCCCCCTTCCTCTTCAGAGAGGATTTATTTTGCAGGGAATTGTCACCTGTCTGCTCGATGGCTGTAATTTTCAATGTGGCAGACAGATCCGTGATTGTCTCGGGAACTTCCTGTTATAGGGTGACAACGCTTCGCCCATATTCCTTAATTGTGCTCCTGCGTTGTCACTCTGTTGTCCTTGTTCGAGCACTTCCTGTTATAGGGTGACCACTCTCTGTCCCTATCTCCCAATTGTGCACCCACGTTGTCAACCTGTTTTTCTTGATTAGGTGCATTCCTGTAATAGGGTGACAACATTCATCCCTTTCTCAAAAATGTGCTCCTGCATTGTAAACCTATTGTGCTTCTTCAGGCACTTCCTGTTATAGGGTGACAACACTCTGTCCCCATCTCCCAATTGTGATCCAGTGTGGTCAACCTGTCATCCTTGATCGAACACTTCCTGTTATAGGGTGACAGTGCTCTATCCCATCTTCCAATTGTGCTCCTGCGTTGTCACCCTCTTGTCTTTGTTAAGGCACTTCCTGTTATAGAGTGGCAACACTCTGTCTCTATCTCCCAATTGTGTTCTGTGCTGTCACCCTGTTGTCTTTGTTCAGGCACTTCCTGTTATAGGGTGACACCACTCTATCCCTATCTCCTAATTCTGTTCTGTGTTGTCATCCTGTTGTCCTTGTTCAGACACTTCCTTTTATAGGGGGACAACGTTCTGTCTTCCAATTGTACTCCTGCATTGGCAATCTGTCATGTTTAAGGAACTTCCTGCTATAAGGTGACAACATTCATCCCTATTTCAAAAATGTGCTACTGCATTGTCACCTCATCATGCTTCTTCAGGGAGTTCCTGTTATAGGGTGACAACGCTCTATCCCTATCTTCCAACTGCGCTCCTGCGTTGTCACCCTGCGGTTGTCTATATTCAGGCACTTCCTTTTATAGGGTGACAACACTGTACGTCTCCCAATTGTGCTCCTGTGTTGTCACCCTGTCTTGCTTTTTCAGTCACTTCCTGTTGAAGGGTGACTACGCTATGTCCCTGTCTCCCAGCTGTTTTCCTGCATTGTCACCCAGTCACGTGAGCTTCCAATCGGCTTTGTCAACCCACATTACACAGAAATGTTGTCCCCACCAGTAAACTCTCCCCAATAAATGCCATCCAGTCACCACTGGAGTCCATGTAGACAGGAAGTTGTTCCTCCCATATTCCTGAGAAGAGAAACATTGTAACACAAAGTATATAGGTAAAGGCCACGCCCCCATTATGTGGCTCATGAATAATTCATGCAAAATTAAACAGACCCGTGCTTTCTTTTTCACTTCTCCTATATATCAGCTTTTCAGAATAATAAATGTAATCATTCAGCGGCCGGACTGAAGGTTTTGTACAGCAGAACAATTTAGATTGTTACATTTTTTTATATTTTAGAGATTGATCGCTCAGAGCAAAAAAAGTGGGATAACCGAGAAGGAGAGAGGGACAGACGGACTTTATCCTGAAGGAGGGACAGAGGGACTGGGTTCTAAAAGGATCAGCTGGACTGGGTTCTAAAAGAGGATCAGAGGGACTGGGTTCTAAAATGGGATCAGCTGGACTGGGTTCTAAAAGAGGGACAGAGAGACTTTATTCTTAAAGAGGATCAGAGGGAATGGGTTCTAAAAGGGGATCAGTGGGACTGGGTTCTAAAAGAAGGACAGAGGGACTGGGTTCTAAAAGGGGATCAGTGGGACTGGGTTCTAAAAGAAGGACAGAGGGACTGGGTTCTAAAATGGGATCAGCGGGACTGGGTTCTAAAAGAAGGATAGAGGGACTTAGTTTTAAAGTAGGGACAGAGAGACTTTATCCTTAAAGAAGATCAAAGGGATTGGGTTCTAAAAGGGGATCAGAGGGATTCGGTTCTAAAAAAGGATTAGCAGGACTGGGTTTTAAAATAGGCACAGAAGGACTTTATCCTGAAAGAGGCTCAGAGGGACTGGGCTCTAAAAGAGGATCAGAGGGACTGGGTTCTAAAAGAGGATCAGAGGGACTGGGTTCTAAAATGGGATCGGCGGGACTGGGTTCTAAAAGAGGGACAGAGGGACTGGATTCTAAATGAGGGACAGAGGGACTGGGTTTTAAAAGAGGGACAGCGAGACTTTATCCTTAAAGAGGATCAAAGGGATTGGGTTCTGAAAGAGGATCAGCAGGACAGGGTTTTAAAAGAGGAGAAGAAGGACTTTATCCTGAAAGAGGCTCAAAAGGGACTGAGTTCTAAAAGAGGATCAGAGGGACTGGGTTCTAAAAGAGGGTCAGAGGGACTGGGTTCTAAAAGAGGATCAGAGGGACTGGGTTCTAAAAGAGGATCAGAGGGACTGGGTTCTAAAAAAGGATCAGAGGGACTGGGTTCTAAAAGAGGATCAGAGGGACTGGGTTCATAAGCCTTAGAAGCCGAGCGGCTGCATATTTGCGTACCATTTACCCTTGCGATCGGGACCTTTTCCGATCATGTGACTGCAATGACAGCAAATCACGTCGATCACATGACCCTAAAGCCCCGCCCCACCTCCCAGCTTCTGAAACTCTGAAAGGTCCAAGAGGCACCGGCGCAAAGGGGCTAAAGAGGATCAGTGGGAATGATTTCTAAAAGAGGATCAGCGGGACTGGGTTCTAAAATAGGATCAGCGGGACTGGGTTCTAAAAGAGAATCGGCGGAACTGGGTTCTAAAAGAGGATTAGCGGGACTGGGTTCTAAAAAAGGATCAGCGGGACTGGGTTCTAAAAGAGGATCGGCGGAACAAGGTTCTAAAAGAGGATTAGTGGGACTGGGTTCTAAAAGAGGATTAGCGGGACTGGGTTCTAAAAGAGGATCAGTGGAACTGGGTTCTAAAAAAGGATCAGTGGGACTGAGTTTTAAAAGAGGCACAGAAGGACTTTATCCTGAATGAGGCTCAGAGGGACTAGGTTCTAAAAGAAGATCAGCGGGACTGGGTTCTAAAATGATCAGAGGGACTGGGTTCTTAAAGAGGATCAGCAGGACAGGGTTCTGAAACAGGATCCGAAGGACTGGGTTTTAAAAGAGGGACAGAGGGACTGGGTTCTAAAAGAGGATTAGCAGGACAGGGTTCTAAAAGAGGATTAGCGGGACTGGGTTCTAAAAAGGGGATCAGCAGGACTGGGTTCTTAAAGAGGATCAGCGGGATTGATTTCTAAAAGAGGATCAGCTGGACTGGGTTCTAAAAGAGGATCAGCGGAACAGGGTTCTAAAAGAGGATAAGCGGGACTGGGTTCTAAAAAGGGGATCAACAAGACTGGGTTCTTAAAGAGGATCAGCAGGATTGATTTCTAAAAGAGGACAAGCAGGACTGGGTTCTAAAAGAGTATCAGTGGAACTGGGTTCTAAAAAAGGATCAGCAGTACTGGGTTTTAAAAGAGGGACAGAGGGACTTTAGCCTGAAAGAGGATCAGAGGGACTGGGTTCTAAAAGAGGATCAGAGGGACTGGGTTCTAAAAGAGGATCAGAGGGACTGGGTTCTAAAAGAGGATCAGAGGGACTGGGTTCTAAAAAAGGATCAGTGGGACTGAGTTTTAAAAGAGGCAGAGGGACTTTATCCTGAAGGAGGCTCAGCGGGACTGGGCTCTGTATGGAGGGATATTTGCCACTGAAATGGACTGCCATAGAGTAACACGCAACGTGACGCATGTGCATGTCATTGCCCCGCAGAGTTCTAAACGGGCCCTAACTTTCCAACAGTCAGGAACTCCGAGATATGAGTCCTGGGCAATCCCATCCTTGGGGGGTGTCATATGATTTCGTTTCTCCCCTCCAATCCCCCCGGCCCCCCTCTACCACAGTGTGATAAGTGGACTGTCTGTGTGGCGCGGTGGGCCGGCTCTCCATCTCTCAGACACGTCTCAGTCGGCAGCCATCAGTCTCTTATCACCATTATTGCGGAATATTAGCGAGATGAAAGGCGACGGTCCTGCGTTATATCAATGGCGCCGTGACATCGGCGAGCTGCGGAGGACAGAAACAATGTCCTCTCATTTTCTGTGCTATATATAGAACTGATGGCAGATAAGAGGCTCTCGGCCGGCCGGCTCTGCAGCTGCGAGAAAAAGTTCATCATGACCGTAGCGGAGGATCAAATCCAGCGTCCAACCTCAGGGACCCGCCATCCTCTGAGATCCGCCAGCCTACGGGACTTGTTG